TTATTCTCCAAGTCAATTAGATGAAACTTTTGGATCAAGCCAATGAACACATACTCGTTTGTCTCCATTGTAATGGAGAACATGTGCGAGAACAACTCCCATGACCAAGAAATCTCCAGCCAGTGCAGGCAAACTATGTAGGTCATAACAGTCGCTATAGAATTTGGCTTGACTTGGGCTGAGATGACTTTATAATGGTTGAAGATTGATTGAAACACTGTACAAAAGAGCAGCCAAAGCCCCCACCAATACTGATCCTAATAAAAGATCAGGTGATCTTCTAGATAGTTGGTAACATGAACTTTTGCATCCACTCAAGTGTCATGTAGCAATTGAACGTCAAAATCCATCAAGGTCAATCTTTCGATTGCTCTTACCAAACCAAACATCTGAGAAGAATGTTTGGAAGTCATAGAGCTCTAAAAGAAGCCAACCAAATGATGAAGTGAATGAAAAATGAAAGTATTCACCGTTTTTTAGCATAAACCTATATATAGGGTACATGAGGAATTTGAAACTTCTCACATTTGTACATCAAACTTTAGAGATGCACGTCAAATTGGTGTGAAAATTGAGGATGCATAATGATTATATATTTTTGAGATTTGACAAAAATTAAATTTTTTTTATGATAAAAAGTATTTCACAGATGAGACGACTGTCACCTCGAGTAAAACGTGACCCCAACTTAATAAACTTGCATATAATGCTCGCCCACTAAACTTATATTTTTATTTCCCCTACTCTTCCACCCAAACACAAAAGATCAAACTAGCCACCCAAACTTCCACCAGCGTGCTTCATAAACTCACCACTTTGGTCCAAAGGTTCTCCAAATCCTCATAGAGGACTGCCAACTCCACCCTTAAGTCTGATCTGACAGTCTCCATTTGAAGGGTCGATGCCCAGACAAAGGACTCCAATGTCTCGTCCATGAAACACACTGGTGACTCGTGTGAACCATCTCAACCATTTGTTTTACACTCTATGTTAGTAGGAGGTGACAGATTGCCTGGGGTCTCTTTGATTGAGAGAGGGGTAGAAGGTCCAACAGGCGCCTCTAGAGTAGGAGGCTGCCTGGTTCCTCTGGGAAGACATTTGATCATTTTCGTGGTTTCATTTGCAAAATCAAAATAAGCCATTAGAGTGGGCAAAAAAAAAACTAAATAAGGAAGAAAATCAAAATTATCGATTAGTCTCTCCATCTCTGACATACGAAAAATGTCCCCAATAGGACGTGGAGCCTCACCGTAGACTGCCTCGTGGTTTGAAGGCTAAGACAGGGCACTTTCCAGTGGCGAAGCTTGCAGACCACCTCTGTAGACTCCAGTTTCAGGGGCCGTAGTTGAGTCGGTCACTTACAAAGTGGAATATGAGCCAAGATAGATGCATCAGTGATGCACACTCCTCTCTAGTTCCCCCCTCTAAAAGCGACTGAGAGTTGAATGATTCCACATTCTCCTCCAATCTTTATTTCTTTGTCACCAAATGCATCACCAATCTGGACCCCTCAGGACTGATCCCTTCAACCGACCTTTAGTACTAGCAATCTGACCTTTATCTCCCATCCTCTTCTCAGTCGACCGACCCTCTTCAACAGGTTTCTTCTTCTAAGCCAATCAGGAACCCTCCAACTTTCTTTTTTTCTCGGCCCCACAGGGTGAATCTTAGAACTGGGAAGGCCGAAAGCCCTCAGCAATTCTTTCTCATCCACAAGTTTTTTAGCACCCAACATCCTTGACCTTTACCACAAAATAATGAACGATAAAAAAATTAATAAAATGAAGAAAAGAAACATTGTTCGTAACTTATAGGGAAAAATGAAATAAAACTTTAGGGATTACAATTTTTAGCAGTAATTATTACGTAATAAATTAACAAATTTTCCATTTAATTATTTTATTCTTATGGTAGTTGTAATTTTCAAATAAGTAAGAGAATCAAGAAACTAAATATGTACCTTAGAAATGTAATTGCACGAATCGCGAGGTCATTCAACGGATCACATAAAGAAAGTTGCAAAGGATCAAGCCATCCAACATCATTTTGATCTATTGAATAATGGACCAACCGAATTAAAGTTTTTTCAAACCAAAGGATGCCACTTACCTAGACTGAGGACAACTTTACCGATATAAGGGCACTCACAAGATCAATGGTTGCTTATTGAAACTCTCATCTGGCCTCTATGAAGATCTCCTGACCTAATGAAGGCTGCCTATCAAATTACAATGACAAATCCTCTGCCTGAGGGAATAACCCTTTTTAAGGAGAATAAGTTTTCTTGAAACTCCCATAGAGAAGCCAACCAAAAATTTATTAGTCGATCTAATGACTCTTAGTTGATTGAGCATCAAACGACCAAGTCGAGCAATTATAAATATGAAACAGTGCCAGAGATTGCTATAAATACAAAATGATGCCAACAACTGTAACCATGATCAAACGATGCCAAATTCGGTTACAAAATGTAAATATATAATGACTCATAAATTTATTATAACATTCCCATTAAGTGACAAAAATCATGTACTTCATTAAACACCCCCTATGACTTATAAATTGGGAGGGGAGGAGGGTCATTTCTATAGGAATGACTATGCAATCTATTCTCAGAGAATTAATATTTTTTGTCATTTACTCTCTCACTCACTTTCATTTACGTTCACTTATTCCTCAACAAACGTTTTATCCCTTAGGCATGACCCGAAGGACATTTTGAGATTCAACATTTAGGATAGCATATTAATCTTTGAATACCATTTCTGATCATTTAAATAAAAATCTTTCAAGACCCTTGGTGGATACAAAATAAAAACCTCAGTGTGTGCGTGTGCAAGCACGTTCATACTAAACATTATTTTGTAAGGAATCAAGCATGTACTCATGTAATTTACTCATGTATTTTTTAAGTATAAATAGAGTATACAGTGAAAATAAGATATGTGCATGGATTTCTTGGAGTTTGAGGGCCAAGACTAAGTGACACTAGACCTCTCTTTTATTATTTTGATTATGCGTATACGTTTCATGTACACGAGCATTGCTTTTGTTTGCTTAATTTTTTGTTGATGATTGTCAAATCTCATGTGTAATTGCAATTTATTACAATGAAATGCAATTAAAAATAAAATCTTATAAATTTGCAAATAAAGAAATTAAAATAATTGGCTTATTTGAATATTTTCATAAAAAAATTCTTTTATTGCAAGGCTTATGGTTGTATTTCACAAAATTAAATAATTTAATATTTACAACCTTGAATTGATTTGGTGACTATGAGTTCACAAAACTCAATTCGTGCTTCTTACACCAATCATTGGAGAGAATTCTATCCAACAATGAATTAGAGTTGGCTCACCTTCATAACATACCCTAATACTGTGCAATAGAGCATCCACATTAGGGATGTACAACATTAGATCTTTTCATTCTCCTTGTAAGTCTATGTTCTTCTTCCACATAATTGAGCACAAGATTTAACTTGTATTGGTGGTTTTCTAGAATATTTAGGAGGTTAATGACTGTCATGAACCATACATGATAGGATCATTTTTTTTCTTTAACTTATAGTATATGAAATTCCCATGGACTATGTAATTTATGAATTGCTGATCAAAAATTTAAGCTGCATAGGGATGATTACCTTTATAGCTAAATAAAACAAATGTTTGATCGCCCATGATGATGGGTCCATAATATCTAAATAAGGTCATGTCTATCTCTTAAAAGTTTCTTACATATTCATTGATATTCTCCTTTTGGGCCAATTCTATTCATTTGGTATATTTTTGTTGTTTTTTTTTCCATAGGCTCTCTGTCCTTTGGGTTAAGGTGACATACCTTCTGCATGGTGGCCTGGTTTAGCCTTGATAGGAGGAGTTTTTCTCCTATTATAATGATAATACCCTTCATTGATAATTATGTTAATTTTTTTTAAAATGCAAGCAATATTTTTTTAATTGAGGATTTTTCTGGGCATCATCCAAGATGCAATTAACCAAAAATATATGCTATTTTGAGAATGTCCATATACATAAAATAGAAGTAAATTATGATTCTCTAATTATATATGAGAGGCTTTTTGTAGGTCTTCTTTGAGATTAAGATGGAGTGAGCTAGTCTGAATTCCGTTTTTAGACTTCCATATCCAACTCATCTTACAAAAAACCACCCTATGCAAGTCACTACGCGTTCTTTTTAATTTTTTTTGACCTTATTTTTATCTTCATCCTTATTATATGATGACTAGATGAATTTATTGACGAGGATATTTGATTGGGAAAACATAGAAGGATCTTACAAACATAATATAAAAATGACAAACACTCCTTTAGAGGAGCATTTAATGAAGAATTACTTGTGAGATGATGAATAATAGGAAATAACATGTCAGGGACATTCAAATTAATTGGAATGAATATCATTACAACAAGTCCACCTCGACACAATAGGAGGTGGACAACACCCTCACAGATAAGTGCATTGGATGATGTCGCCATCATTTGGTTGGTTGTAGAAGACATGCTAATCATATTTAATAGCCCATTGAATGCCAGTTAGCCTTGAATTTGAGCTTTCAAAATTTCTATAAAAGAAGTATAATACATATATGTCATGTTTTTGGATTATCACATCATTTTGAGCTAATGTGGTCACCTAGACAAATGATATTAGCTATAGTCCAATCTTTTAAAATGTTCTTAATATATGCCCTTCACTTTTAAATTATACTTAAAAAAATCGGATAATTATATGATCCTAAAATATTTATGCAAAAAATGACTTTAAGCACAATTATGAATCAACATTTAAGAAGATTCTTAGTATAAAATGGAGAGTATGGTGAACTAACTAATCTCTAACTATGGCCCTACCAACTAATAACTCTTTGTCTAACTATCATCCATTGCTTATCTATAAAGATGCTTCAAATTAAGGTACTAACATTGCAATCAATGCTTCCTCTATAAATATCCCAGCAAATGAAATAAGAAGATATAAATGATTAGGCTTTAATTATCGATTGTCCATAATTGGGGTTCCGCATAAACAAATTGCCCGATAGATACTACCTTTTCGACGGTCATTCTTGGATCCTCGTTCCTATCTCGTCCTCCTCCGTTGCTGCGGTAGCCCTAATTCTGCTGCGGTAGCCCTATTTCTGCTGCGGTAGGGTTTTGGGTTTCTAAGCCTGCTCTACATCTTTTCTCGGAACGTGCCTTTCATATTAGAGCGGAGCTTTTTGTGATTGTTTCATCGATTTTCGTCTTTCTTGGAGGTAGGGTTTGTAATTGATCTCAAATCGCAATCCACGGACTTTGCTTTCCCCCGTGCTATCCGACCGTTTTCGAGCACTCAAGCGTTGATCTGGGGCTTATTGGCTGAAGTTTCTCTTCCTGAGTGTGAAGTATCGGTGCATGGACGGGTCTTTCATTTGATGTATCTCTTGGGGTCCATTTGTTCGATGTCTCTGATTTCTGATACCGCCAAGTTATTTACCATTTCGTTCTCCCTTTTCATGTTTTGCGTTCGTTCCGTGGAATTTTAGGTCACATTTGTTTTCTGTGACAGCTATTGTTTGGTATTCATCATTGCTGCTATCATATAAGTTTAAGTCGAGAATGGTGATGGACGTGGAAGTAGTAAAAGACATTGCTTCTTTTGATCCGGAACTGCTGCAGCTTCCGGAGGTCTCTCCTCCAGTTCTGAAAGAAAATCCACAGATTGCTGATCATCTATACACACATTGGCTTACGCTTCCAGAAACAATAAAATTGGTACGCTTTGTTTCATTTTGCTTGGTTACTGTGTTTTTCCCTTTTGTCGTGTACGTGGTGATTTTGATATAACAGTGTCAATTCTGCAATAAAATTTTGATTTTTTTTTAATTGATTTAATGATCAATATTAAAAAAGAATGCAGCAAGTGAATAATAATAAGAGCAATCTGATATCTTTGTACAGTGTAGAATTTAAATGATAGAACTTAAAGAGATTTTTCTTTTTATAATGTAAAGTTTAGAAAAATAACTTTTTCTTCAATTTTTATGCAGTTTATTTTGTTTTTCAATGAATGCATCGTTGTCAATTAATTTTTTGTGAAGCTGGATAATGTTTCTTGGGCCACTTTGTTTTATCAATAAATGATTGGAATAATTTCCCTATTTTTGACAAACTTAGTAAAGCCTATTTCTTGGCCTCGAATGCTCTTAATTATTTTAGGCTTGAAATTCATTATTGTTCGTAAATTTTGTGGAATTTGGGTAATACGTTTAGATTGAATTTAGTTCATCAATTGGAATATGCCTAGCTTGATGTAAGGTGAGCTACTCAGGCAATGCCAAAACCAGAAATTTTTGAAATAGGGTGAAACAAAATAATTTTTTTTTTAACTTTGAGAGATGTTATTACACTTAAATATATTTGACAATCAAAATTACTCTATACAAAAAGCTGTTCATCTATAAAGTAAAAAAAGGTAATATTTCTTAAATTTTAAATTCTTAGTGTTATAAAAGTTTACTTCACAAAAAAGGTAATGGAAGTTAACTTTAAAAATATTAAATTATGTTACTTGAGAAAGTTTATATTTTAATACAATTAACTTGTCAATGAAAGCCCGTTAAATTAGTTTCAATACTAATGAAAATTCAGTTAATTGAGAAATTAAATAATAATTATATTTGCTGAAAAGAACAATAAAAGCAAATACAATCATGACCATGACAACACAACCGAAGTTTACCATCGACCAAGTCAAAAATAAAGATAAAAACAAAAATTAACAAACAACTAATTAAAAAATATGTCAAATTATAACCTTATCACTAACCTTGTAGTACTCAAGTCCTGGATAAAAAAGAAATCATCTTTCTTTTCACCATTATTATAAAAATTCATGCACTTGAGCTCCTCTAAATACTAGAAATCCAGCTTCCTACAAGATTATTTTGAATTTAAGGCAAAACAAAGAAAAAAAGATTTAAGATCTTGTGGGAATTGAAGTTGACATTTTTGTTGTGGCGACGAGACCAAATATGGGGGATTATCTGGGTTTTAAGGCAAAATTGAGATTTAGGATCCCGTGGGAATTGAAGTTGTCATTTTTTCTGTCGTGACGGGATCAAATATGGGGGGAAATATATGTCGAATGCGCATGGGTAGAAAGAATAAGTTGTGTGGGTGTGAAAATGGATTCTACACGGCAGCTAAAATATATTTTACAAATTCTAAGGGGGTGGCACATGCTCCATCAAGCCTCCCCCAACTCGCTATGTACCCACAATAATATTAAAAGACATGAGCAAAGAAAATATACTATAATTGAAAATAAAAAAAAAGAAAAAGCACAAATAATATATTTAGTGTACTCATTTTAGGACCCTAATAGGAGGAAGCCCCCAAATTTTACCTTTTATTACAAAAAAGCAATGCCTTACATTATTTTAACCCAACTTAATTTTTCAACACATATCACTCCATATTTTTAAGTACTAAAATACATATTATTACATGCTTTTATAGAGTGAAAAAGTTAAAGACTTCATGATTTGATTACATAATTGATGTATATCTTTATTAATTGAAAAGATCTTTAATTTGAGATATCCAAAATTTTTTTATTTAAATTGGAATTTCATTGGAAGGTAAAGTAATAGGAAAGGACATCCTATGTTTGATTTCTTGCTTAAAAAATTTTTCATCCCTCTCTAGAGAGAGAATAAATCTCAATAAGTATTTTTATGATGCTCAATATCTTCATGGATTATTTTAGTTCTATTTGAAGATGTTGATGTCATAATTTTTTCAAAAAGGAAAAGACATTTATTTTCATCTCTGAATAATAAAATTGAAGCAGGCTTTTTCTTAAAATTTTAGTGATAATCATGATTATAATGAACTCCTTCCATAATAATATGAACAAAGCAACAACATTAACAGTTTTTAAAATAAGGAAAATCTCATAAATTGATGATGCTTATAGTATTTCTAAATATGATTGTTATTGATAAAATGCATAATTTGTTTTTGTTTTTGCATCATATTAACACCTTACATGATGATGATTCCATATGAAAGGTAATTCAAACTATCATTAAATTGATAATTCTATTTTTTTCTTATAAATATCCAATTCAGAGTTTTCTTGTTCTGCTTCATGTTCCACTACATTTCAATGAATTCCGCCCTTGGAGTTCAAATTCTTGTTTTAGGTTGACATATTTTACTTATATGATAAAAATAAAAATGAAAGCAGAAGTAAAGACACCACAACTGTGAAAGCAAACAAGTAAACAAATTGGAAGAAAAATTGGATAATTACCCTTAACTCAACACAAAGAACTCAAGTTATACATCCAAATCAAATTTCTAAAAAAAGATTGATACTCACGAAAGATTCACCATTAAATAACCATCAAGCCTTCAACTTTTGCATGATTGAATGGTAAGAAAAAAATGAAAAGCCAGTGAGAATTCTAAATACATTACAACAATGATAACTCACTTTCAGAGTGTTTTCTTTAAAGAGCCTTGATACTTACCAAAGATGCAGCATGAAATTGTGACCAAATTCTTAGTTTTTTGTACTATTGATGGAAACACATTCAAAATTTTATGATGAGAATAAGAGGGAATTCAAAAGAACAACTCTTTACATAAATTGGTATTACAAAGGAGAAGTTACTAAAATTATTTAACATAGAATATATATCTAGGCTTTGAACTCTGATACGAAATGGTATGGATGGAAGGTGGGTTGTCAATGGCAACTTAATGATGATATGGATAAAGAAGATATATTATCATTCAAAGAAAAATAATATCTTAAATAAAAGTACAAATAGTATTTCTAGGTAATAAATTAGAGCATTCGAATAGGAGGAAGCCATTAAATGTCATCTTTCATTGCAAACAAACAATATGTTATGTTATTTATACCCATTATGATATTCTAATACAAATAAATCCATATTTATAAGTACTGAAGTGCATATTATTACATAATTTTATGGAGTGAAAAAAAGAAGGTTTCAACATCTTTATTATTCAGTTGTATTGTTGATGTAAATATTGCTTAATTGAAAAGATTATTGATTAGAAAATATCTGAAACTTACTTATTTATACTGGAACCATACTGGAAGATTAAGAGAGAGGGGGATGCCCCATGCTTGATTTCTTGCTTGAAATTTTGGTCATCTTTTTATAGAAAGAGAATAAATCTCAATATTTTTTTCTTATGATGGTCGATATCTTCTTTGATTGCTCTAACCATAATTGAAGATGTTGATGACATAACCTTTTTCCTCAAAAATGAAATAAAAAGGGGAAGTGATACTTCTTTTCATTTTGTAGTAATCAAATTGATTAAGTGATAATTGTGTTGATAACGAATGCCTTCTATATTGATAATTGGAGCATAAACATTTCCAAAATCGAAAACTTTTCATAAATTGATGATATTTGGATTATTTCTAAAAAATGAATATTTGCATCTTGATGATTAGCACTTTGCATGATGATCAAAATTTCATCTAACGAATGAATTTGCTCCTTGCCCATAAATATTGATTATTATTGTAGCGTTCTTATTAATTGCAGGGTTAAGTAGCTTCAATTTTTCTTGACTTGTTGAGTAAATTTTATTTTTGGAAGCTTTCAAATGCTTAAATTGAGAAGCCTCTTTCAGTAGAGCATGCATGGAAGAAGTTTACATAGAGTGATGAACATCAATAGTTATTAGGGGCTAAAGGGTGTTTTCATGTGTTATCTTTAATTTGTTTTCCATGCAGGTAAAATCATTTGTTGATGATGCAAAGGCAGGCTTGCCTTTCAGTATTTCTGGTTTTAGTAATAATGCAAGTAATTCTAGTGCAAGCACTTCATTGCCTTCTATGTTTCCTGCGGGCGGTACACCTCCACTCTCTCCAAGGAGCATGTCTGGATCTCCACGTGCTGCAAGACGTGGTTTTGGAGTTGGCCCTTCAAATTTGGGTTCTTCGCTAAAGGTAGCCAGTGAGCAGGTCAAGGAAGTTATCCCTCAGGTATTAACACATCGAAGCACATTCTCAACAAAGTTTTCTGTGTGGATTAGAGTAAGGTTTTTGTGTAAGAGTACTTATTTCTTATCATTGTTAATGTACCTGATATAATGCTTCATATTTACTCAGTTCTATTTCCTGAATGGACGTCCACCACCAAATGATTTAAAACATCAATGCTTAACTACAATTAATCACCTCTTTTATGGTCATGAGAATGGGCTTCGCATTCAAGGTGAAAATTTATGCTACCCTCTTGAGTGTTTTTTTTAATAAAAAATGCTAACAAAAACAATTTCATGCCTATTATAATTCAGAATTCAAATCTGTTACCAAGGAAATCTGCAAGCTGCCATCATTCTTTTCCAGTGTACTCTTCAAAAAAATTGATGTTGACTATGCTGGGGTTGTTACGAGGTATTTTAGTTGAATCCATTTCTTTCTATTCTTATTACGCTTTAGTGCTATTATATTTTTAGTCACTACACATTTGATGGAGTTTCTTTTTAGTTCCATTTCAATTTACTTCTACTGTCTATGACATATTACTATGGGTGCTTTGAGCTTGGCTGTTTTGCACATCTATATTCCTCTTGAACCTAATAATCTATATTCATTGTAGATGCGAGAGATCTTTTTGTGTTAAGTTCTTACCTTTTTTGATCTCATTAAGGTGAGATGCTTATAAAATAAATTCAAAATGGGATGCCTGACTGGTGCAATTTGCAGATGATAAATTTTTCTTTGGCTATTAACTCTTATTTTTTGAGTGAAAAGTTGGAAGTATGATGAAAATTTGTAAAGATAGCATGCTTAGGATAAATTGGACGAGAGTGATTACATGATTTATCTATAAGTAAAACTGGAAGATCCGGGGATACGTCGATGTGGGATGTTTAAATATCTAGGATCTACCATACAAAGAATAAGGGTATTAATTTGGACAGTTTCTAGAATTAAAACACTGTGTAAAATAAAAAGGTGCCTCTGATGTGCTATGCGATATTACGATAAATCTAGACTTCAAAGGTAAATTTTTTAATGTTCAATTTGACATTATGTGATGCAGACTTTATTCTCCGATCCTGTAGTAGTGATTCTTGTAGTTCCTATTCTTTGATTCCTGTAGCAAAAATCACAATTAAAGATTTTGCATTAGTTGATTCATTGTATTTTCTCCCTGTTGTTATTCACGGTTTTTTGGGGTAATACCATTCTCGTTGCTGCTAGTTTCTGCTTACTTACGCATGCTTATCCACTGCTATTGCTGTATTGGCATTTCAAATGAATTCAATGGTTGGATGAGTTAGTTCGACATTATGAGGTTACCAATTTTAAAGATCTTGGGTAGTTAACTATTTTAAATAAAAAAAAATTAAAACATTTAATGGAAATTTCTTTTACTTGATAAAATTTCTCATTTCCTTCAATCTTTTGTTTTTTATTGGAGCTAAGGGTACGTTTGGGACAGCGGTGCGATGTCGCACCACTCTGTTTTGGCGTTTGGAAAAATTATGTTTTGCCTTTCTTTCAAAAAATTGCGGTGGAAAGTTGCATTTTGCAGCCTGACCTGGCTAAGTGTAGTGGCTACTAGTTATGCTTTCTAACATTGTTGCATGTTGTATGTTGCTTACCGTATCAGCATGCTCCTCCTACTACAGCCGCTACCGCCTTTGCAACCTCAGCTAGTTGCTTCTGCTGCCGCAACTATCGTCCATTTTATAATTTTTGTTTATTTATTATATTCTTATTTAGATCTATAGATGCGATAATGTTGGACAATAGGAGTGAGAAAAATCAACAATGCTAAGCTCATCTTATGTCTTATTTTAATATTTTATGTTGCTTTTATTTCTTTTTTTATGGTAGTTTGGTAATTTAGTCAGTTATCACTTACATTATATATTTATTTATGCAAATTATTATATGATATAAACATAATTTATAATTTTTTATCTTGCTAGAATATTATTATCTTTCTTTAATATAAATATAAGTCATGATGTTGATGTATTTTTTTTATCCCATTATTTGACGTTCACAATTTTCAAATTATTATGCTTACACCTTAGAACGCTTCGACGCTTGTGTATGTGTGAGTTTGTGTCTGTATGTATGTATGTATGAAAATTAATCAAAATAGAATATAATTCCATAGCTTTCTTGTCTTTGAGAATTAGCATATGATTTTATATATCAAAATGATAATTTTGAAAAATAGAATGTAATGGAATGATTTCTGATAATTTTGAAAAAAAAATAAAATTTCAATATAATTTATTTTGATATTTTTGCACTTATACCTTAATGAAAATTGGATGTTACACTATATTCTCCCATTCTTCATCTTTATTCTCTATTATTTTCTTTTTGTAAGCAATCACATGAAATAAAATGTTAATAAAACAATCACTATATTGATAGTTAGAACTTCAACTAAATTTATATTAATGGATATCTTTTTTGTTTATTTCTTTCTATGTAGTGTGTGAAGTGTGATCGATATGTGAGGTATATTGATGTTATTTTTAGCTTTTGTAAAAAAATTACGGATTGCCTTAAAAAATTGAGGCGAGGCACTTCCCGAGGCATGCCTCAGGTTCGGTCAGGCATACACCGCAGTCTGGGAAAGTGAGGCAAATGCTTCTTTGTGATTTTTCTTAAACATGTTGAAGTGTGCCTCGTATTGTGTAATTTTAAACAAGGGATATACTTATTGCTATCTCATCACACACTTTTTGAAGCACTTAAAGGAAAATAGACGATTCTAAACATGTATGTAGATGATATAATTTCAATAAGTGACCTATAGGAATAACTAACCTTATTTAAAGGGCTTACGCATAAGAATTTGAGATAAAAGACTTGAGAAATGTAAAGTACTTTACTTTTATGTAAGTGACGTAATCAAAATTAAATTATTTTTGTTTTCTAAAGGAATTATATTGTTGATCTACTTGAAGAGATATGTATGGTGAGATGGAAGCTTACAGAATTCCAGCTGGCCTAACAACAAATGCGGATAACACATCTAATAGCAAGCTGATTGATAAAGCTATTGGCATTTTCTGGTCAAACTTGTCCGCCTTTCTCCCACTTGTCTTGATATCAAGTTTCTTATTAGTATTTTAAGCAAATGAATGAACAATGAAAATTATTAGTCACATTCTAAGGAACCTCAAAATGACGAGAAAAATATTTGTTTAAAAAGGCATCCAACAAGTAAAACAAATTTTTCATAGGTGCTAATTGGATGAGAAACACAGTAGACCAAAGTTACATCTCTGGCTATTGCACTTATGAGGAAATTGAACAGATGTAGAAATAAGAAATAATTTGTTGTCTTAGGTACTCCTAAATTTGAATATAGGGTAGTGACACTTAATATTTGCAACAGAATACAGTTTAAAAAGGCTTTTGCAGCAGAAATTTCACTAAAAAAGATCTTTAAAACTGTATGTTGATAACCATGCCGTCAATATTGCAATAAATCCTATCCACATTGAGATAAACCAACGTTTCATCTGGGAAAAAAATGAAAATGGTTTATCCCTATTAAATTATGTCCCAATAATCTCTCAAACATTAGATATGCTTACTAAGGGTCTGTTTGGGGCAGCTGCAGCTTATCCAGCTTCTGCTGATAAGCAGCTTATCCTGATAATCTGCTGATGAGCAACTGATCCGGATAAGCTGTCTGGCTGTTTGGTTGGCGCTTATGGAAAACAGCTGATTGTGAAAAATTGACCTTTTTGCCCCTGTTCTGAATAAGCAGTTTAGCTGTTTGGTTAGTGCGTTTTGTAAACAGCTTATTTGGAAGTTATTTTTCTTTAAATGTATAATCTGTGCAGCAGAATCTATTCTTCTCTAAACAAAATTAAAGATAAATATTCAGACAAGAAAATACCAAAAAGTTGAGTTATATTCAAATAACTACAGCATATCCGATCATATCAAACGAATATGTTACACATACAAAAGTCAAACACACATGTACATACTACTACATAGTATAATAAGAGCCCATAAAGAAGAAAAAATAACTTGTTAAAATGAAAAGTAGAAATATGATAATGTTGACTTTATAATGTAGCAACATATCACGACCCATGCCACCTGCATCTGACACTCCAAAACCCTGAGCAAACTTGTCCAACGGCGATATTCTAGAAACTGAATAACTCGAACCGCATGTGGCGTTCTCTTGTTGTGGCACTGTTGAACTCCTAGCAGTTGTGTCCAATTGGGAGCACGTAGAAATAGTTCCACTGTCGGCCCACCTGAAGAATTTGCAGTCGTCCGGTCCTTGTCCCCAGCGCGGGCACCTGTAGAATTGTCGTCCGTAACTATGTGTCTGTCGTGATGTTAAAAGCAATGGCGGTAGTCCACATCGACACATCATTTATCCCGACTTCCCTGAATATCTCGAGCTCATTGTCTTGTAATTATGTTAAAAAGCGTTAATCAGTCAAAAATTTGAGGGAATAAAAAAAAAATGTAAAGCTCTAAATAAAAAAAAAGGAAAGAGAACGTCTCCCTGTATTCCAGAGACACTCTCAGCCATATTCTCTGACGTGACTGAAGGAAAACATGTTCGACATTGATTCTAAGTGGTTAATGTAGTTTTTGATATAGAGTCGGCTGTAGGATCAGGTGTGGTGCGACGTGGTCCCCATGGATGCATGCCACCTTTTTTTGAGGAGACCATGACAATTTGACCGTAGGATTCAACTCGACAGATTAAGAAACACCTACTTCACCAAGCAGGGGAAGCATCATCCTACTTTTCAGTGGAGCCCGAGATCACAGGAGTATTTATCATCATAGCAGCATCAACAGAACAATTTTGGTGATGATAAAAGATGATGTTGTTGATGCGCTGATTCTAGACATGGTACAGCCATGGCAAAGAGTGTCGTAGGACAACACGATCAATATCTTATCACCATGGCCACCACCGTTCGGGGAGCTTAGGTGACCTCCACTTCAAAGCAGGCTAAGCCGACCTTGGAATACTTCAGGAGACAACACAACTGATAGTGGGATCCAGGCACTGATAGAACTGCAAATAATAGCTTTTTGCTATCAAACAGTAGTAGCAACGTGATGGCGGGGTATGGGTGGTGAGGAGGATCCACCATTTATTCATCATACAGATGCTACACTTGCAAAAAACAGGGTACAACAATTCAAAGAGCATATAACAAAAAAATAAAATCTCTAAACACAATAACAATAATCAAAAGTCCGGGCAAAAAATAACATAAAAATAGTTCCATAATAACAAAGAGCTTAATTTGAAATGTACAAATGAGAAAAAAATAGAAGAAATGACATGCTAAAATAGGAAAATATTGGGCTGTTCATCCACGCCCGCAATCGCAGTAGTACCGGGTATCATAGAATTACAGAAGTTGTGTGTTCTGGGAA